AAAAATCCTCTGTGCTTTTGGGGAGATAAAAGGAAAAGTCTGGGAGGACCCACCAGGTCACCCTGAGGAAATGGCTGGGACGGGGCTGGGGATGGGGACTTGGACTCCGGACTCAGTCTGTTCATGCGCCGGTGGGAAGGTGCTGGAAGGAGGCCACCTACGGCTTCTGAAGCTTAAACAGTAATGAAGTGGGAACACAGAGCCCGGGGCTGAGCACCCTGCACTCGCCGCCCCTCCCATCTCCGCAGCCATTCACTCCCCTCCCGCCCCCCAACAGTAAATGACAGCACCAGTGACAGGACAGGACATTCTCAACCAACAATCCCTTGTCCAAGGTCCAGGCTGAGTCAGGAAGGCTCCTGTTGGCCCAAGCAAACTCAAACAAGTGCCACCCCCTGCAATATCCTTAAGGGCCCCCTGTGGCAGGTGCTGGGCCACGTGTGGGGGCAGCCGATGAAGCAACGCCTCTGCCCATCCACGCTCCCTAGTAGCTGTCAGTATTGCCACTCCTGGGGACCTGTGTCCCTAGGGCTGGATGGGGCCAGTGTGGCCCAGCATCGAGAAGGGGGTCGGTCCCAGGCTGCGGGCTGGCCAGGCTTCCTCAGACAGCTTCCCCTGGCCCTGCCGCTCTCAGCTCCAAGGCCTGCTGAGTTTTAACAGCGTCCCTGGGCTTCCGGCGCACCCCGGGCTTGGGGAGGCCCCACTTGGAAGGATGGGCTGCGGCTGCGGGGGTGCCGGGTGCGAACTGCTTTATGAGGCTGTCCTGGGCCGAGACAGAGCCTGCTTCCTTCCGGCCCCAGCAAGGCCTGGCCGGCCAGCCGGGCCCAGCAGATGTGCTTTAGTGGCCAGGACAGGATGCAGTAAATGCCCCCCCGCCTTTCACATGCAGATGCCCCCGGGGCCATCCTTTGTGCTGGTGCCCCCGCTGGGCTGGCCCTGCCTCGGAATGGCTCTCCAATAAAGGGCCTGATGGGGAACCCAGGCCAGTTACAGATGTCCCGCGACCACGCCCGCCCACAAGTCCTAGGGCGTGAAAGGGGCCCCGCCCAGCCAGCACCGGGCCCTGGAGCTCCAAGAGGGGACCGCACTGCCAGGGAACAGCAAGGGGGCAGAGTCATCATAGCCTCAGAGGCCTGGGCCTCCTGTCCTCCCATCTGGGGCACTGCGGGCCCAGATGACACCTTCAGCCTCCAGCCCTCACATCACTGGATCTTCGAGGCCACGTCCCCGCCTCCCAGCTGCCCACCCCCTGCCCCCAGCTCCTACCTCCTGGCCTCTCCCTCCGACACCAGCCTTTCTGGGTGCTCTCTACACTGGTCTCCCCACATCGGACGGCAGCTGGAGGGGGTGAAGGGACGTCCCTCTGCCCAGTTGGCTGCTGTGCCACAGCAGTGTTTTAGCATCGCAGAAGCGCTCAATAACGCGTGCAGGGCGTGTGAGTGCTCGAACAAGATGCAGCGTAGCATCATGGGGAGAGCCGGGGCTCTGGGGTCAGGCAGATCTGGGGGTGAACCCCAGCAGTCCCTGAGACTCTGAGCTCCAGCCCCACTTTGAAAAGGACCCGCACCCAACTCAGGGCTGGCTGTGCAGGCGGCGTCGGGGGTCAAGCGCCTGCCTGGGACGTGAGAGGCTCCCTCAGTCGCTGGCGACTGCTATTCTGATGGTTGACACTGTTTTAAAACACAGTCTGTACTCCCTGTGTGCTCTGTCCCCAGAGAGGTGGAAGCCTTTCTGAAAATCTGAGTCAGCCGTCACCACAGAAAACTTAGGAAGAAGAGCGGCGACCTGACCCCTACCTCGGGGGTTCCCAGGACAGAAGGTTCTGCTCGGGAGGCTGCGGTGCTGGGGTGCTGCTGCCATGGAGGCGAGCTCTCCGCCAGCACCCTGGGTCATCAACGGCCCCCCCCATCACACTTGTCCTTCAGCAGCGGCCTTCTCACCTCAGGGACTTCCTCCGAGCTCCCGGTGACCTCAAAGCAGCCGTGCATATCAAGGAGGCCACAGAGTGTGAAGTGCAGAGAAACCTCCCTCCTGTGGCTGCCAAAACTTACAAGAAGCAGCCGAATGCCCGGTGCTGTTCACCGTGGCAAACAGGCCTGTTCCGTAGATTCCTGGTAGAGTCCTTTCTGGGCTCAGCCACCACCAGAGGGGAAGCGCGCCCGCCGCCAGCATGTCTGAGACACCCCCACGGCAAAGCCCCAAAGCAGGCATATCCTACTGGGGGGAAGTGTCCCGAGCTACATCCACTGCTGCCAAGGCTGGGCCGCACCCAGGCCCAGGGCAACCCACTAGGAGGGACCGGAGGGCTTTCTTGAGCCAGAGTGAGACTGGTCCGGCTGGGCCTGCGTGCAAGGCCCAGTCTTTAAAGAGCCAGCAGAAGAGTTGAAGGAAAAAAAGAAATGTTGGGGGACTTAGGGGGCAGTGCGGAGTGGCCCAGGTTCTGTGGGTACTGGGGGGCTCGGGGGCTCTGTGAGGGGACCACCCTCACCCTCCCTCAAAGCCTGGGAGCAAGTGGGTGAGGAGGGCGGAGTGGGAGGAAAGGAGTCACAAAGGTCACTCTCAAGGCCCCGGTGGGCAGGGAACAGGCATGAGGTCTTGGTCCCATGTCGTGGAAGCTCAGGGGGTTTCAGAGGGACCAAGCCATCATTTCCCCAGGCCCCCGCGCAGCAGAATGATAAAGTCCGCAGGGATGACCAGTACTGCACCCCTCACCGGAAGGAACCAACCGCATGGGCCGGCGCCTCTGTTCTCGCAGCTCCCTGACCGGCCAAGACGCATTTCAGGACCGCCGTCACAGCGCCGTTAGATGTACACACCCGGCTGGATAAATCTGCCCCAGATGAAGCACATAGAAACAAAACCCTCCTGGGGATGAGCGCAGAACCCACAAGCTGGGAACACCCTCCTTAACGCCACACCCTGTGACCTGTGCATTCCCCAGGAGAGAGAAGCCCCCGGCCTTTCTCAAGTCCACTTCTCCCGGGAAGGATTCTACTTACATGCCTGGCACAGAGGCGAGGGGTCAGGCAGACCTGGGCTGCCGTGGTCCCTGGGTTATTCCAGCTGAGACCTGGCAGGCTCTGAGCCTTGGCTGCTTTAGCTGGTAAAGGGAGACAGCTGCAGCCCCCTCCCAAACTCCGGGCTGTTAGGGGGCCTACCGGAGATAGCAAGATGAAAGCAGGAACGCTCAGCACATAGTGGGCGCTCCCTGGAGAGCAGCCTTCTTTGCTGTTGCAGCTCGACACCTGGAGGCTCGCCTGCCCGGGCGTGGTGTGCCCCGGACCCCGGTTACTCACGGGAAAACAGTTCAGCTGCAGCCCCGCCTTTCCCAAGGCCATGCTGAATCCGTTCTGTGCTTGCTCCTCGGAGAAGGACGGAGGGACCAAGGCTCTGTCCACATCCTTGACCCATTTTACTTTTGCAATGAAAAGGACTGACAAACCCAGGGGTCGGTGAGGACTTGGGTAAAGGGGACTCGTGCACCGCTGGCTGAAATGGTCTTCGAGGTTTCCAAGGCAATCCCCTGTTTACATTAGACACTTACAAGGTTTCACTTTTACATTTACAGTTCTTTACACCTTAAATGAAATTCTCCAGTGCCCGCCTACTGTTCCTCCACGAGGAACGCACTGACCTCTGCCCCTGGACCCTGAAGGCTCTTCTCACCCTCGGGTCAGTCCAGTGCCTCCTCCTCAGAGCCATCCCTGGACCCCATCTTGGCACGGGCCCGCCCCACGCGGTCACCCTCTCTCAGTACCCATTTTCTTTGCATCACTGATGCCAAGCTGGTGACTTGGTTGTTCCTTTGTGTCCAGACGCGAGCCCCACGAGGCCCTGTCTGCCTCAGACACCGCCCTGCGGCTCTGGCCTCCTGCCCTTCCACCGAGGCCCGGTCCCCCCAAAACACGGTCCAGTGTCCCCTGCTCCCCTCCCGTGGGCGCCACCACCTAACACTCACGTCTGTGAGGAGCTAGTCTGAAAAGCCTGGGGGGTAAACGGAGGCCAAGGCGGAGGTTGGGAGGGCACCTAAGCCGGGGCTTCAGGACCCACGCCCCCAGGCCCGCAGGGTGGCTCCCAGGTCTGGGGCGCTGTCCCGCAGGCCACGCCCCCTTTTACCGAGGTCCCGTCCTCTCAAACACCTCCTGCTTTGCTGTGCAGGACAGCCTGGCTACTGGAGAAAGGGAGGGGGCTCTCTGAGGAGCAAGAAGGGGGCTTCACTGCCCTCTACAAGTAGGTAAACTGAGTCCCAGCGAGGTCAGGCCACCAAGCAAAGGTCTCCCAGCCAGCGACTGTGGGAGGCCAAGTCCTGTGCCATTAGTCCCCTTCCTGCCTGCCCATCAACATCATGGCAGCACTGGCCTGCGATGCCACGGGCAGTGACAAAGCCCAAGGTCCAGAGGTGCCAACCATGGTCCTGGCGTGTCCTCTGTGCACAAGACTTGGTGGGCAAGACACTGTTCTGCTTCTACTGTCTAAACAGATCAAATACAGTCCAATTGAATTATAATGCCAGTCTCATGCAATTTAAAGTTTTCTGGTAACCCCACAGTAACAGAAGTCAAAAGAAACAGATGGGATTAATTTAATATATTTCATTTAACCTAATGTGTTCAAATTATTATCCTATCAACGGGTCATCAACATCAAACAGAAATCCAGGGTGGATTTGACACTGACAGCACGTCTCACTTCAGACTAGCCACACTCCAAGCGCTCGGCAGCCACAAGTAGCGAGCGGCTACCCTGTCGGACAGGCAGCTCTCACCGCCGCAGGCCCTGTGCGCGTCCAGGGACGCCGGGTCCCGGTCGCTTACGTACCCCGGGGCTGTCGCGGGGTCCTGCCCAGGAGAGTTCTTGGGTCTCCAGGGCGGGGGCGGAGCCAAAGCAGCAGCCCCGCCCCGCCTGCTCCGGCCCCGCCCCCGGCAGCGGTCAGGAGTGGCAGGAGGGACCTGGCTGAGCTCGCGGCCCGGCGCCCACGGCGGCCAGCGCGGCCCACTCACCTCGCCACCGCCTCCACGGAGCCGGCGATCGGCTTGCCGCCGCCCTCGCCGCTGTCGTACAGAACGCCCGAGATGTCGAGCAGGACCCCGCGCACGCCGGCCAGCCGCGCTCCCCACGCTGTCATCGCGTCCCGCCCTGCGCTTCGGGTTCCGAGTCCCAACTGGAGGCTGGAGACTGCGGCTGCGCTCGCCGCGCAGGGGCGCCTGGGAAGTGTAGTGGGACGGGGTGGGGCCGTCGGGGAAGGGGCGGGCCTGCGAGCGGACTTCGGGGTCACGTGCCCCCCGATGGGCGTCTTCTCCGCAGATCAGAGGACAAAAATCAGAGCATACCAAGTTGAAGCAAGGAGACCCCTGTGGAAGTAGCAAAAATTAAGGAGAGCAGGCGGTACCAACGCTCCCCTGGTGTTCTCATCCGTGGCGGGGGAGAGCGACGGCCCTGAAAGCGGGGACCGTGGGCCGCACAGTGCGGCACCTGGGAAGCGATGCTGAGGAGATGCTTGTAAGACCATGGCTGCTGCGAAAGCTACGATGCCAACCCAAGCTGGAAGGAAAGCAAACGTTCAAGGACTGGAAGTGTTCACGAAATTATAATGTGGCTACTAAAAGAAAGATTATGCCATCAAAGAAATAAAACGAGGTGCCCTGCCCAGTGTGGCTCAGTTGGTTGGATGTCATCTCCCAGAAGAAGGCTCGCTGGTTGGATTCCCGGTCAGGGCACATGCCTGGGTTGCGGGCTTGTTCCCAGTCTGGGCGCATGTGAAAGGCAGCCAATGTATGTTTCTGTCTCACATTGATATTTCTCTCCCTCTGTTTCTCCCTCCCTTCCTCTCTCTCTAAAATATATATAAATAAATGATTTTTTTTTTTAAATGAAGACTAGGGAACAACATGGAAAATGCTCATGTTACAACATGAATACAAAACTGCATGCACACAGCAAAATAAGGATGCATAGGAATAGGGCTGGGAAGAAAATGGGACTATTGCAATGTATTAAGGCAGTAAGATTTTTAGATGATTTTTTGCATTCTGTTTAATGTCACATCATTTTTGCGATAAGGAAAACAGTGATTGAAAAGGGGAAGAGGTTTCTTGACTGCCCCCTGACCCTTTGAAGTATTTAAATTGAAATTTGTGGAGCATTTGCAATCTTGCAACTTGGCAATTGTAATCAGTTTGGCTCAAACTAAATCTTACAAAAATTCAAAAAAAATTAATTAAACCTGAAAACATTTCGACTTCAGGCCTGACTTTGCTTTGAAGTTTCTAAAGAAGAAAACCATATGAGGTTGCTCATTTCATTTCAGGCTCTTGATTCAAAGATAATGAGAAATTCATCAGAATATTACAATCTTAACCTAGTTCAATGACTCATGTATATCATGTGGGTAAGTACATTGGGCCAACTGTTGGTTATACAGGAGAACTATAAAAAGCTGCTGTAAAACAGCAGTTCCTGCCCTTTGGGGATTTACACTCTGGTTGGGGAAGAAAAGAATATTATACGTTATAATGGACATGGCTCTTAGCTGCAGACAAGAGAAACCACTCCTTTGTTTACAAAGGCCATTGGGAGCTTATAGATTTTCAGGAGACTGGGGAATCCAGCCAAAGTAATCCATAGCCAAGAGCCATGTGGCCATGAGAAGTGCCCAACTGCAGGGCTCCATTGGGACCACTGCCCCATCATTTGGCTCCTAAGATGCCAGGGACCTGCTATTAGGTCGATAGTACAGCCCCCAAAGGCCCAGACCCGCCCGACGCCATGCCCTGTGAAGATTCTTTCGGCGCTGGTGGCCGCCGCCTCTCTTTCACCACATCTGGCTTGTTGAAACCTCATCCAACCTGCGAGGGAGTCTGGGAAGTGCGGTTTTTAGCCATCCAGGAGCTGAGCAAATCGATCCAGGGAACCCATGTGAAAATCATGATCCGCGCACATGCACCGAACTTCCACTGTGTGGGCGCAGGGGACTCCAGGGGTGCAAAAACACCCCCCGAGGGGGGATCGTTGCCTTTGAGTCAAGAGTGGGCAGAGAACAAGACGCACACCTTTAGGATGGCTGACCAGGTGTGTGCCAAGCACCTGTGGGTGACGAAGCCACAGCCAGGAGAGTGAGCTCTGTGGGCCGTGGAGGGCAGCAGTGATCTTGGAGCAGAGGGGCAGCCTGAAGCGGCCCTTGAAGAATAGCTGCTCCCTGCTGAGGAGGAGGGAGAGGAGACAGGGCCCGTCTGCCAGGGCCGGCGAGCCTGTGCGCAGTTCCCCCTTCCACGAGGGCTGTGGGCGGCATTGAGCAAATCACTTTCTCTACCTAGGACCGGGGCAGACAGAAGGGCCCCCTGAAGATATCCAGCGCCTCACTCCTGAACCAGTGTATTCGTGACCACACCTGGCCAAAGGGACTTTGCAGATTACACTGAGGATCTTGAAGTGGGAAGACGAGCCTGGTGGCCCAGCATGGATGGTCCATTAGAAACACAGGTTGTCCCACAAATGCAGAGGATTTTCCCTAAGGATGTTGGATCCATGATGAACCTACAGCCATATCTAAACATTTCTGGATCCTAGTCTTCCTTTCAGCCTAGCCTGTACCACCCACTTAACCGGACTGTGGAGCTTCGGGTTTGCTCTCTCGGGCCTCCATTTATTCCTTTCAACTCTTCAACTTGCTCAGCACCAGTGTGCTAAGGAGCACAGAGACAATGCTGTGTGCGCCCTCACTGTGCGGCAGTCCGAGGACCAGCCAGCCTGTATCCCTACAGTGTGATAAAGGCTGTGCCCGTCACGGTTCCTGGGCCTTGGCTAATTGAATTTCACTACTCAGGCAAGGATGCTACTCGGGCAAAGCCGGAGACGTCCACTGAGGCTGGTAGAAGCCGGGGCCTGCGGGCAGGAGACCCAGAGCAGCCCGGGCCAGCAGGAGGCCTCCCAGGAGGAGCGCTGGAAAGGAGGGGGGAAGATCTGGAGATGAGGAGGTCCCAGGGAGGCACGGGATGGAGGGAGCATGCTGCAGTGACACGCCACAGGTGTGAGAGCGAGCTCTGCCCAGGGCTCTTCTCGCCGCCAGGATCAGAACCCCTCTGGGGCATGTGAATGTTAATTTTAGGTGTCAGCTGGACTGGGCCACGGGGAGCCCAGATTTTTGGTCAAATGTCATTCTGGGTGTTTTGGATGAGATGAACATTTCGGTTGGCAGACCGAGTAAAGGAGATCAGTTGAAAGCCGATCAGTTTAAAGCCCGAGGAGAACGAGAAGCTGACCCTCCTCTAAGTAAGGGAGCGTTCTTCCTACCCGGTGGTCTTGGCCCTGGGACAATGGCTTCCTTCCTGCCTTCACATTCGAACTGAAACACCGACTCTCCCTGGGCCTCGAGCCGGCCAGCGTTCAGACTGGAGTGCCACCGTGGGCTCTCCTGGGTCCTCAGCTGGCCGGCCCCCCTGCAGATCTTGGGACTTGCCAGCCTTCGTGACGGCACGAGCCATTTCCGTATTTTAAAATTCCCTCTTTACCTCTACCTCTAGCTCTCTATCGAGCTCTTTTCTCAGTAACTGTCCCCGCACCTCCTGTTGGTCCAGTGTCTCCCCTGGAACCCTGGCCAGTCAGGCGGCTCACATCAGAGTGAGGAGTAGTGTTTGGAAGGGTGCAGAGAGGCCACAGGGACCGCGGGAGAACCAACCCGGCGGCCGCAGGGAGAACGGATCTCGGGCGGCGGCTGCGGCCTCTGGATCCATCCGCTTCGCCCGGCTTCTCTGCTTCGCTCTGCGCGTCTGTTCTGTTCTCCCAGCTCTCGCTGAGTCTCTGCTTCCCCATAACTTTGGTGCTCAGGTGGCCCCTCAACAGTCACACTACCCACCTTCATTTACGTTGCTCATGGGGCACCCACCACTGGCAGGAACACGCCCCTGGGTTTTGATCCAGGTTCCTGGGAGAGGGATGGGACGGGTCCCGCTCACCTGGCTGAGCTGAGGGCATGAGGCAGCCCTGCAGCAGGCTGGCGCGTGGCCCGCTGCCCACTCCCCAGGATCTGCGAGGGGGGCAGAGCCTCTGAGAAGGTAGTGTGCATGAGCAGGACCCCCAGACATTGTCCAGGAAACAGGGCTGCCCAGGCGGCAGGTTACAGTGTGAAGAGCCTTCTGTCCTGTGCGGAGGCATTGAGTCTTCACCCCGTGGACTGCAGTAGCTATGGAAACACCGTGGCCAGCGAGTCAGGTGAGGTCACTTTGCAGGTGCACAGCCGAGGTCGCAAACTTGTGGCCCGCAGATGTGTTTCTGATGGCCCATTTTTCGACTTCTGCATTGGCTGCCAGCATTTACAACTTTGGAGATATCACGTAATTGTTTCTTTGGGCCAGTGCGGAGCTCTGGCAGGGCCAGGCAGCATTTCTACCAGGCCGCCGTCCGCCGGGGGAGCAGCATTCCCGTGACAGGGACGCCGGCCTGCAGCCTGCCAGGCTCGGCTGGCTCTGCTCGTTCAGGCCAGGGCCTGGCCCTCTGGGGACCAGAGTTTGCACCCCACGGGAGTGACAAGCCTGTAGAGGTGACAAGGCTGGAGCCCAGGAGACAAAGGAAGAAGGGATGAACATGTGAAATTTGGGCACAGATTTGGAGAACAGAGGGCTTTGACACCTTCCTTGCAGGAGACCACCCAAGAGGCAGATGATACCTTCCCCCATTCCACCAGGAAGCAGGGGCTTCATAGATTGCAAAGCCCTCCCTCGCCCCCACCCCGTCTTCATCCTGCACCTGCCGCTGCCTGGTACGGCAGCAATATGACATGCATTACTCATGGCCCCTGCTCCTTCTGGCCTTGTCCCTCACTCATTCTCTCCTCATATATCCCCAGCTCGTCACTTGGCCTTTTTTCCCCCATTCTTTTTCTTCCAATTACATCACTCTACTTTTCCAGACATCCAGAGCAATTTGGCTGGCCTGACAATTCTCTCCTCTTGGACTCCTCCTGGGACTATCTGAAAATGTTAGAAAACACTGATGCAGGAGCTTCCAAGCTCGATTCTACGGCCTGCACCACAGTACCCTCCCCGGCAGTGCCTGGGCTCAGCTGTTTTCTCGGAGGTTCTCTTACATATCCCAGCTATGAGCACACCTTGGGAGGAAAGCCATTCCAGAAGACGCCGGAACAAGAGTTCACCCTGGGGCAGGCATGGGATTTCCTTGACTGA